TCTGTGTTCGTGATTATGTTGAAGTTGAAGCTCAGCGTCCAGTAGTTCAGGGTCAGCGTAGCGAGTCCTGTGCTCAGCAGGTGCGCGGCGCCCGCGCTCCGGAGCACGGCCATGGCGGCCTGGCGGTGTGCGGGGTGTCGTCAAGCGGCCCCCTGCCTTTTGGGCATGGCAAGGGGGCGGTGACTGGAGGCCGCTGCTCCATCAATGGCCTGAGCGCGCGGCGGCCTGATGATGATGATGATGATGATGATGATGATGATGATGATGATGATGATGATGATGATGATGATGATGATGATGATGATGATGATGATGATGAGGAGGAGATGGAGGAGATGGAGGAGTAGGAGGAGGAGGAGGGGAGGATGAGGGGGAGGAGGATGAGGAGGAGGTGAAGGAGGAGGAGGAGGAGGAGGAGGTGGAGAAGGCGGATGAGGATGATAATAATAAGAACAAGCATACGAAGAAGACGAACAATAACAATACTAATACGAAAATAATAAGACTCATACTTATTAGAAGAAGACGAGGAGGACGAAAAAGAAGAGGAGGAGGAGGAGGAGGAGGAGGAGGAGGAGGAGGAAGAAGAGGATGAGCATGAGGATGAGGGTGTGGGTGAGGATAAGGATAAGGATAAGGAGGATGAGGAGGAGAAGGGACGAGGAGGAGGAAGAGGAGGAGGAGGAGGAAGAGGAGGAGGAGGAGGAGGAGGAGGAGGAGGAGGAGAAGGCGGATGAGGATGATAATAATAAGAACAAGCATAAGCGAACACGAACAATAACATACTAATACGAAAATAATAAGAATCCATACTCTTAGAGAAGAGGGGGAGACGAAAAAAAGAAGAGGAGGAGGAGGGGAGGAGGAGGAGAGGGAGGGGAGGAGGGGGAGGAGGAGGAGGAGGAGAGAGCTGCCAACGGCGGAGGCCCGGACATCTGGAGCAGAGGAGGAGGAGGAGGAGGAGGAAGAGGAGGAGGAGGAGGAAGATGATGATGATGATGATGATGAGGAGGAGGAGGAGGAGGAGGAGCACGAGGAGGAGGAGGAGGAGGAGGAGGAGGAGGAGGAGGAGGAGGAGGGGGCCCATGAGTGCGTCAAGACGGCTCAAAATGGCCTCACGACGGGCCAAGACGACCCCAAGACGATCCAAGATGGCCCCAAGAGGGCATAGAAAGCCCCCAAGAAGGCCCCAGAGGACCCCAAGATGACCCCAAGAGGACCCCCACGAGCGACTGCAAAGGCCAAAATCACTGTTGTTCCTTCGGTGTTTGAAACATTTTAGCGTTCCCTTCTGTTTCTATCCTCAGAGGTCCATGACGACCCAAGCAGCCTCCAAAATGGTCCCAGGACAGCCTGAGTGGGCCCCAAGAGGACCCCAAGACGGCCCAAGAGGGCCCCAAGACGGCCCCAAGACGGCCCAACGAGGCCCCCAAGGCGCTCCAAGAGGACCCCAAGAGAGCCCTAAGGCGGCCGCGAGAGGCCCAAAGGATGGCCTCCGAAGGAGCCAAACGGCGGAAGAGCGCCCCGAGACTGCCCAAGACGCCCCAAAGAGGCCCCAAAGGAGCCCCTCAGAAGCCCCAAGAAGCCCACAAGACGACCCCAAGAGGCCCCCAGGAAGCTTCCACCAGGCCCCACAATCTCTGGACTGCACATGCTCCGGACGTGCACCCCGCGAAGCGAGAGGAATCCCCACGTAGTGAGGTGACGGCCCAGGACGCCCCTGAGACAGCTCAAGAGTGCTCCAATGCTGTTCAAGCTGGCCCCCCGACGGTTCTGGAAGCGCCATCCATGACGCCCGAAGGGCACCACCGAGGCCCCAAAGACGCTCCGAGCAGGCCACCAGAGCTTTCTGTATCTCTCTTCCATATATCTTTTTTCTTTTTTTTTCCTTTCACTATCGTCCCCTTTATTTACTTTTTTTATGTTTTTTTATCTTGTCTTTTTTGTTTGTTTTTCTCTTTTTCTTTTTTTTTCCCCTCACCGTTTCTTTTTTTTCTTTTCACTTTTTTTATTCTTTTTTTTTTTTCTTTTTCTTTTCTTTTTTTTTCTCTATTGTGATTATTCGTCTTTTGTTTTTTTTTTGTCTCCTTGGTCGTAGTCGCTCTTTTTTTTTATATTGATGTTTCTTTTTTTTTTCTTTTCTCTTATTGTTTTTTAATCTTTTTTCTTTTTCTTTCTCCAGGAACCGCCCCGGATGCACCCAGCGCCGGAGAGGGCCCCGAGAGGCCTTCAAGAGCTCCCAAGAGGCCCCCAGGAGAGCTCAAAGATGCCCCCAAGAGTCGTCCCGAGCGGCTCTTGGGGGCACGCGCAAGCCTCGGAGGCGCATCGGAGGCGGAAATGCGAGAACACCCAAATCATACATTTTCTTCTTGGTTTGCAGTGGTTTTGGGCTCTCGAGGGCTTCCCCAGAGCGTTTGGGTGCCTCCTAGAGGTCTCTTGGGGCGATCATGTGTGCTCTTGGGGGCCTTCAGAGCCATCTTGACAAAAGAGGGAATTTCCTCAAATCATTTTTTTGTTCAAGTTCGACCCTCCCCTCCGTCCCCTCCTGTCCCAGGCTTTGGCGTGCCCCAGAGTGCGTTTCCGTTTCCTCCTTGACCCCTACCCCCTCTCTTCTTTTTTTTTTTGTTTTGTCCTGCCTTTTTTCTTTTCTTTTTTTTTTTTTTTTTTTTCTCTCTTTTCTTCTTTTTTTTTTTTTTTTTGCTATTTTTTTTCTTTTTTTTTTTTTTTTTTTTCTTTTTTTTTTTTTTTTTTCTTTTTTTTTCTTTTTCTTTTTTTTTTTTTTTATTTTTTTTTTTTTTCTTTTTTTTTTTTCTTTCTCTTGGTCTTTCTCCGGCTTTTTTTTTTGTTTTTATTTTTTTCTTATTTTTTTTGTTTTTTTTCTTTTTTTTTCCCGTTCCACATCCCTGTCCTTCCTATCCTCCTCCCGCCTCACCGTTGCGTCATTTTCCCGTCTCTCATTCACGCCTTACTCTCTCCGCTCTCCGCCTCACTCATGCGTTTCCGTCTCCCGCATCCTTCATCTTCATCATTCCTTCACTCCCTCCTCCTTCCGCCTCCCGCACCCAGCATCCTGCTCCATTATGTGGTTGGAGAACCAGCATGAACAAAAAAAAGGAATTCACTTAGAGCTTTTTTTCAGGGTCCCCCCCCATGTTTCCACCTGTCCCAGGCTTTGGCGTGCCCCCGATTGCCTTTCCGCTTTCCCCATCCCTCGCTGTCCGTTCTCACTGATCTCTCTCTGCTTCTCTTGGTTCTCCTCCGTCTCCCATTCCACATCCTTGTCCTTCCTCTCCTCCTCCTTCCTACCCGCTGCGTCATTTTCCCGTCTCTCCTTCACGCCTTCCTCTCTCCGCCTCCCTCATGCGTTTCCGTCTCCCGCATCCTTCATCTTCATCTTTCCTCCGCTCCTTCCTCCCTTCGCCTCCGTCAATCTGCATCCTGCTCCGCTATGTGGTGGGAGAACCAGCATGCAAATGTAATTCCCTCAAGTCCAGTTTTTTTCAGGGTCTACCCGCCTCCGTGTCCTCCTGTCCCAGGGAAGTCCCATGAATCCTAAGCATTCCGATGAACTCCTATGTTTTCTGGGATAAGCACCCCAGAAATCCCAAGCATCCCAGTGACATCACAGGGTTTGGGTTCCCAGACGTCGCGAAACTTGTGAATGAGATGCTTGGCATTCGGAGCCCTGGGGGGCTCCAGGCTGTTCTTTTTTTTTGGAGGGCGGGACACCGCAGGAATCTCAAGCATCCCATTGAAACCATATGGTTTCTGGGACTGGTACCTCCGAGATTCGAAGCATTCCAGTGACATCACAGGGTTCGGTGGCTTTTCGTGTCTACGGGATGGCTCACAAACTTCGGGCTTCCTCTGCGGGGGAACGCGCCGTTTGCATCTTCTGCAGTGCGCTGTCGTTGGGCGTTGGCCATCCTAGCAGCTAGTGGAGTCGAAAACAAGGCGCCAGCAGACGTCAGGGGAGTTTGTAAGCGAGTAAGAGGAAGGAAATGAGGGAGGAGCGAAACAAGAGAGACACCAGGAAGAGGAAGAGAGGGGCAGCAAACGGTTGCAGTCCTGCTAGCTGCCGCTGGGCAGATATTCAGCTGAGCGAGGATCACGTCTCGGCCAACCAGCCATTTCTGTGCCGAATCATTGTCGCTTCCCTTTGATTCATGTGCCAGCTTCCGCTGCTACTCCCCCTGGCCCTCGTTCTCTCCCGCCTCCAACCAGTTTTCCTGCCCCCCCTCTCCCATGCTGAAGCGAGAAGAGTGCAAACCCAGGAGGGACGCAGCACGGCGTGGGCGTTGGCACCGCCGGGCGGCTTGGCAAGCCTTCGCCGAGCACCCGCCTCTCGGCGCTTGCCCACCTCCGCGGCTCTTCCCCGCTGGAGCCCGCACCCCAGGCCCGCCCACCAGGCCCCCGCGCGCGGTCCGAGTCTGCCAGCCGACACGGATGCTGATGTCGTCAGTCTGGCAGAGGTGGCCACCACCCACCAAGCCACCCCAGCCCAACCCGAAGGCCTCAGTTTGCCCTCCATTTCCAGTGAGGGGGCCAGGGAACACTGAAGAAACACATGGGACCCGTACCCCCCCCAACCCGAAATTCGGGCCTTCGGGCTGAGTTAGGGTGGTCTGGTAGGTAGTCAGGTAGTCAGGTGGTGCGACGTCGGGTGCGTGTCGTAACGGCGCCTTGCCTTGCTCGCCGCACTGACACGCGCGAGCTCGTGCAGGTGCACCGGCCGGCATTGCGGTCCGCATGCGCGGTGCCGCGCTGGAGGAGCTGCTGCAGGAAGGGCGAGCGTCGGGGTGCGGCCCGCCTGGCGCTGGGGAGACAGGGCTCGCGCGACATTCGCTGACGAGTGGGATCCTGGCGAGAGGCGTCGGCGGTGCCCACGAGGGGGTGGTGCGAGGGGGCCTTTTTCCAGTAAGGCAGGGGCTTCTTAGAAGCCCCTCCGTCGCCCTGGCCCCCTCTGCGCGCCTCCAAGAAGAGCGCTCCCCTGGCTGAGCATGGGCAGGGCCAGGCTTGTCATCGCCGGGCGGACCCATAGCCACAGCAGGGATATCACCACTGGCAGGACCAGACTCGGCAGCGCCAGCGTGGCAGTCTGGATGAGGCGCGGAACGAGTACGGAGCACATGTTGAGGCGGCCGCCGCCAGACAGTACGGGCAGGGCGCACCACGGCAATCAAATGGTTCATCGCCTTTTGCAGTCACAACGTAGACTTGTCCACGGGGCCTCTCGGGGCTCTGGACCTCGATCATTCGGTCGTTGGCATCAGTTGCCTGGTTGGGATTGGAGATGTTCCACGCCAGGAGCACGCCCTTGGTGAGGCTGCCAATCGTGGAGAGGGCAGTTGGGTTGGGTTTCGTGATGCAGGATATCGAAGTCAAAGCTCTCAGCAGGGCTGCCTGTCACAACCTTTACAGTCCGCGCGTATGGTTGCATGGGGACGCGTGCAGCGCGATCACCAGCGTCAGAGTTTGGACCAGCAGCGTCAGGAGGCCCAGGAGCTCGGCCAGCCAATGCCTCCTTGGCCCGCTATTGACGATCATGACTTTTGTGGAATGTGGAGACCTGTTGCCTGACTTCTCATCGGGCTTCGCCTGGGCCACCGCCTAGAATCAAGGGCAGGAAAAACGCCCCTACCCTGGTTTACGAGGCGCTGTGCGCTGAAACTCCTGTGGGCTGACTGGGTAAATCCGGCGTGATGTGCCGCGTCCTGGCGGCTCTAGGCTTTGGGGGTCCCCAATAGAAGCCCCGAGGCCTCATCCCGCACGCAATGGAGGCGCGCAGGACGCAGGACACGTCTGGTGCCCAGCCCCGCTGAGCCCCCCTCTCCCTCGGGCCCCGTGCCTGGCCCTGGTCCCCGGCCCCCCCTCCTCCCTCCTCCTCCTCCTCCTCCTCCTCGTCCTCCTCCTCCTCCCTCCTCCCTCCTCTCCTCCTCCTCCCTCCTCCTCCCTCCTCCTCCTCCTCTCCTCCTCCTCCCCCCCCCCCCTCCTCCATCCTCATCCTCCTCCTCCCTCCTCCTCCTCCCCTCCTTCCTCCTCCTCCTCCGCTTCCTCCTCCCTCCTCCTCCTACTCTCCTCCTTTCCTCCTCCTCCTCCTCCTCCTCCTCTCCTTCCTCCTCCTCCTCCTCCTCCTCCTCCTCCCCCTCCCTGCTCCTCCTCCTCCTCCTCCTCCTGGCTTCTCCTCCCTCCCCCATTTCTTTTCCTTATACATAATTTCTCACTGTCGCACCCCGAGGCCAGTTTTTAGGGCAGAGCTTCACAGATGGAGGGCGGGTCGTTTAAAAAATGTGGCTCTCGCCTTAGCGCGGCGCACATTCGTTTTAACAATTCGCAGCAGTTTCACGGATTGAGGGCTAGTGGTTTTCAACATGTGGCTCTCGCCTTAGCGTGGCGTGCATTCGCTTAAAAAAGTTGCAAGAGCTTCGCGGATCGAGGGCGGTTTCTTTCCCAAATGTGGCTCTCGCTTTAGCGCTGCGCACATTCATTTACACACTTTGGAAGAGCACCTTGGAAGAGTTTTACGGATTCTCATCGTAAGCATACAGGAAATTGTGTTTTGAAAAGGTCCAAGATTACGCGGGCGCAAGAGTTACGTTGACTCGCTGTGTTGGAATCCCAGGAATGGCTTTCTAGCGCGATTGAGGATCGTCAACACGCAATAGTCAGGTTGATCCATGGCGTTGGAATCCCGAGAACAATGTTTTGGCATGCTTCAGGGTCTTCAAACGGTTGTCTTCCAACGAGGCAGTTCCCTCATTGGAAATGAACCGTTGTAGGGGCCTGTGAAGAGGGAGCTTGGAGGGTGGGTTTGTTCCAACATCGTTGATGACTCTTGAGTTCACCCTGGTCCTCCTCCTCCTTCTCCTCCTTCTCCCTCCTCCTCCTCTCCTCCTCCTCCTCCTCCTCCTCCTCCTCCCTCCTCCTCTTCCTCCTCCTCCTCCTCTTCCTCCTCCTCCTCCCTCCTCCTCCCTGCTCCTCTGATCGTCTTCCTCCTTACTGGGATGGTGGGGCATCTCTCTACAGTTGTCCCCCTCCGACCCGCCGCGCCCCCCCCACCCCCTGCTCTCTCCTCGGCAGCGTGCAGCGTGGGCCCAGACAGGCCCGCGGCGTGAGCAAAGACCAGGCCTGGAGGTTCTTCGCCGCTTCGGAGCCCTCGCCAGGCCCCAGGAGCGCCACAAGACGATCCAGGATGAAAAGCGGACCCCGGGGAAAGGGTCGGGGCTGCCGGGGACCGCGCATCGAACAAAGCAAGGGCGTCGCAGGTCTGGGGGGCGTCGGGGCAGGGGGGGGGCCTCCCAAGAGCCACCCCAGTCTTAAGTTGGGCCTGTCCCTCTACAGGAGGAGTACCTTAATATAGTCAAGAAAACAGCCTGGGGACGACCTTTGGATTATATTACTGTTGGATTATTTTTGATTGTGTTAGAAGTATTTTTGCTATTGTTTTCATTTTCGTAGGGGTATCATAATTGCTCTTAGGGCATTTCCTGATGACTTATGATTATTATTGTTGTGATTTTGCTTGGATTGTTTTCGGGGTATTTATGGTTACTTTTTCCGTCCAAGATCTGCCTGTAGGGGGACATGCTCGCCGCGCAGAGGACCGCGCCTCGCGCGCCGCGGTCCGGGCCGGAGCGGCCGCCCTTCTCCAAAGGGAGGCGGCCGGTGGGCGCGCAGGCGGGAAGCTGCTCGCGCGCCGTGCCTCGCGGGGCGCGGGGCGCGAAGCTGGGTGGCCCCAGATGAGGCTTTCTGCCTCCTCCTCCTCCTCCTCCTCCTCCTCCCTCCTCTCCTCCTCCTCCTCCTCTCCTCCTCCTCCCTCTCTCCTCCCTCTCCTCCTCCTCCTCCTCCTCCTCCTCCTCCTCCTTTTTTTTTGTTCCTTCCTTTCCTCCTCTCTCACTCCTCCCCCTCTCCTCCCTCCTCCTCCTCCTCCTCCTCCTCCTCCTCCTCCTCGTGGATGCCTCCTGGAGGGCTGAAGGGGGGGAGGGATGCGGGAGGAAAGGGAACGGGAGCAGCCTCCCGCTCTCGTTGCCCTTGCCTCTGCGCTGCGGCCGCCTGCTTCCCGAGGGGGGCCTGCCAGGGAGCCTCCGAGAATAGGCGCCCGCCTCCGCGGAGCGGCGATCGCCTCCGAGGAGCCTCCGAGGAGGGGGCCTCGCAGGAGCCCCCTAGGAGGGGGCGATCGCCTCCAACGCCCCCCTCCCATCCCCCTGCCCTCCAGGGAGACCGCCTCTCCCCTGGCCCCCCGCCCCCTCTCCGCGCGCGCCGGTGACAAGTCCCCCCTGGGCCCTCCCGTCCTCTTCGCTCGCCTCTGCCCCTGGTACTCTGCGCGTGGCTCCTCCCGGAGCATGCCGCTGCCAGCACCGCGCGCGAGAAGTGCTTCGGGCTCCGAGCGCGCCTCCCCCCCCCCGCTTCGTCCTTCTCTGAGGCCGCTCGGCCGCCCTCTTCCGTCCGTGCAGGTGCTCAGCTGCCTCCTCCGCGTCCCGGTCGTTGCTGCACAGCGCTCCGTGCCCCCTCGCCGTCCGGTCACCCTTCTCCGTCCGTGCAGTTGCTCAGTTGGCTCCTCCGCGTCCGGGTCGTGGGAGGAGGAGGAGGAGGAGGAGGAGGAGGAGGAGGAGGAGGAGGAGGAGGAGGAGGAGGAGGAGGAGGAGGAGGAGGAGGAGGAGGAGGAGGAGGAGGAGGGAGGGAGGAGGGAAGGAGGGAGATGGGAGGAGGGAGGGACGGGAGGAAGGGAGGGAAGGAGGAGGGAGGAGGGAGGAGGGAGGAGGAGGAGGAGGAGGGAGGAGGGAGGAGGAGGAGGGAGGAGGGAGGAGGAGGAGGGAGGAGGGAGGGAGGGGAGGAGGGAGAGGAGGAGGGAGGAGGGAGGAGGGTAGGAGGAGGAGGGAGGAGGAGGACGAGGGGGAGGAGGAGGAGGAGGAGGAGGAGGAGAGGAGGAGGATGAGGAGGAGAGGAGGAGGAGGACGAGGGGGAGGGGGAGGAGGAGGAGGAGGAGGAGGAGGAGGAGGGGGAGGAGGAGGAGGAGGAGGAGGAGGAGGAGGAGGAGGAGGAGGAGGAGGAGGAGGACGGGGTTCCTCGGCCGCGCTGCCCCCAGGGCCTCGGCCTCGACCAGCTCCGCGAGCGGCTCAGCGCTTCTGCCGGCGAGGTCGCGGAGGCGGCGTCGAAGCTGTGGGACGAGGCCGGCGTGCCCTGGCGCAGAAAGGCAGCCCCAGACATGATCGCGTCGCAAAAAAGACAGGACGGCAGGCTCTTCTCTATTTTCGGCCCCTGGGGCCCTCGCCGGCCCCCGGGATCGTCAAAGAACGACTCAGAATGAGAAGCCGGCCCCGGGGAAAGGGTCGGGACTTTTGGGACGCCGTATTGAAACATTCAGGGTGTCGCATGTCTGGGGCAGCACTGGCAGCGGCCGCCGCATGATCACCAGCTGTAGCACCAGCAGCCAGGAGGAGTCTGGCGACGGTGGCGGTGGTGAGGGTATGCAGAGGGCGAGAAGGGATGGCGGGGGACGGGAAGGAGAGGGGGAGGGAAAGCTGCCCACGGTGCGCACGACAGTATTTCAGCCAATTCAGAGCCACACGTACCGCGTCGACTCCAAACACCAGATGCGAGTGCGATGCCAGCGCGTGGAGCCCAAGCAGTTCATTCGTGCAATGAGCATGGAGCCCTGTGTGTGTGTTTGTTAGTGTGTTAGTGTGTTAGTGTGTTAGTGTGTTAGTGTGTTATTGTGTTAGTGTGTTAGTAGTGTGTGTGTGTGTGTGTGTGTATGTTAGTGTGTGTGTGTGTGTGCGTGTGCTTGGCACGCTATGTGTGTGGGACCGCAGCCAAACCGTAGCAGGCCAAGCCACAGGAGGCGAAGCCACCCATGTCGGACACTGGAACATACAGATTACCAGTGGCTGGCTATTTTTTCATCCCAGGACTTTTTGAGTGTCGGGGACGACGTCTGGGTGGTGCAGTGTATTCTTTTTTATCCGCTTCCCGGGGAGACAACGAAACATCTATACACCAGGATCCCGTATGCACCAGGATCCGCTTTTCTGTGCAAGTGTCAGTGCAGGGCCAGGAACAGCGTCGGTGTACAGAATCTGCTTTCCCTAACTGTGAAAAAGGAACCCGTATCATACCCTCATCTCTACTCCTCACTCGCCCTTTCGCCTGCCTTACCGGCTCAGGTACTGGAAGAGACCAGGACGCTGGTCGCACAGGAGGAAAAGATCCCTATCTTTTTCTCCTTCCTCTACCTACGGATCAAGGGGTTCTGTACTTTTGTACTCTAACCCCATACACACTAACAGGAGGCGGAACCTCCCGTGGGGATCCACGGGAGGCCACGTCACGAGAGGTCGGGGGAGGCCAGGCGGCCGCTGGAGCGCGTGCGACGCGCAGAGGGCCAGCGCTAAGTCGGGAGGCCGTGGGGAAGCCGTGGGGAGGCCATGCCACAGGAGGCCGCTGGAGGCCAAGCACTACGTCGGGCATGTCCCCCCACAGGGGGAACATATTTCAGGAAGGGTTGAAAAAAAACAGTGCGGGGACGATGATTCTTGTTTTATTTGGACTATTCTTGAATATTTGTGACTCCTTTTATCTTTCTTTTACAATCCGCCAGTGGGAGGACATGCCCGACCTACGGATCGCGTACACCACGCAAGGCCAGGTCCCCAGCAGGCGATGATCGACGGCGAGCGAGGGGGGAGGTGAGAAGGAGAAGGCCTTCTCAGAAGGCGGCAAGGCTGCTCAGAAGGCCTCTGGCCTTCTGAGAGGTTTTATTGTTTCTTCGGGGAATGCTTACAAAACTCCTCAGAAGGCCGGGGGACTTTCGAGCTTTTTGAGAAGGCCTTCTCCTTCTCACTTCCCCCCTTCGCTCGCCGCCGAAATCAAGCCGCAGCCAGTGGACACACAGCGTGGGGACGATAATTGCTACTCGCTTGTATGTTGTCCCTGCTCCTTTGTGTCCTTGTTTGATGAACGGACGCCGTCGCGCTTGTGCCGTGCTTGCGCTGGAGTGCGAATTTCGTCCTCATGCGCTTCCCGTCGTTCTGGACCCTGAGGCAGCACGGCAGGTCCTGAGGGAGGCCTCCCCAGACAGCCAATATTTCGTTTTGTGAGTACGGGGCCCCTGGAAGTCCCGACCCTTCCCCCAGGGACGAACGAAAACAAAAACAACAATCTTTGATGGTCCCTGGGCCTGGCGAGCGCCCCCGACAGGCCGAGAACGGCCAGACACTTCCCGCCGTGCTGGTCTCAGGACGCGAGCACGTCCGGGGAGGGAGACGTCCTCGTGCGGGGACCACGCGGCGGCCGCGCCGCTGCCGGCCCCGCCCTGGGCTGGTCGGTTGCACCGCTGACCCGGCCCTCGCAGGCCTAGAGGTTGACACCAACACCATTTTCGGCGGTGCGCCTCCACCGAGGGAGGAAAATCCCGATCTCGGTGATGGTGGTAATATTCGGGTTTCCTAGGTGGCCGCAATATTACCACCAACACCGGAATTTTGGATCATCATCCCCTTATGGAGGCAACCCCCTGTGTTGGTGTTGGTGCCCATTTCGAGGCCTCCAAGGCCCTGCTGCCACTGCACAGTGCCCCCGTCCTGCCGCTCGCTGCCGGCATCGGCACGGAGCGACGGCGGGCGGCGCGCCGATGGTTCGCGGGGCGCGGCGCTCCGCCGCGCGTTCGGGGCCGATCGGGGGGCCTCTCGGGGCGGCCGCCGCGGTGCTGCTCGGGTGCCCATCCCAGCGTCTCGGGGAGGGGGATGGTTCGATGCTCGTTTCGGGGACCTTCCTGGGGCCTACCGAATGGATCTGTTCGACTCAGGTTCGATTCGAGCTCGACTCAGGTTCGACACAGATTCGACTCAGATTCGACCCAGGTTCGACTCAGCTTCGACTCAGGTTCTACCCAGGTTCGACGCAGCTTCGACGCACGAGTGGAGCGAGTGGCTCCAGGAAGGTCCCCAGAATGAACATCTAAGGATGGCGGTGGGGTGTGTCGGGGGGGGGACGCTGCTGGCGACAGCGTGGAAGCGTGGGGTGCAGGGGTGCATGTCTTGTGGCTCTGCCCTGGCACGCCGGCCAAGGCGCCTGTCGGTCGCCCCGGATTGCCATCGCCACCCGCTGGAGCAGCTTCTCTGCCTCGCCGCTGACGAAAAAGTCTTGCAGATCTTGCGACGGAGCCCCCTTAAAGGGGGGGTTCTGGCACTCCTCGCGGCTCCCCGCGTGGCGGCCCAGGGGCCGAAGACGAAGCCCTCTTCGGCATTTCTTGTTGGCACCACGTGTTCAAACTCAGGCGAAGACGAGGCAATCCGCAACTGCTGCCGGAGGAATTTCGGGCTGCGACTCCCAGGGCGCCCGCCCAGCATTAGTTCGGATTTGATCAGATGTCCCGCTGGGAATCTCACATGTAGTTGGTTTTCCGGTGTCGGCGAAGGTTTGTTCGTTTTGAAGCTGCGCTCGCGTGTTTTCGTCCTCGGATGGTTGCTTCCTGGTGCTCCTCGTGTTCCCACCAGCACGAGGGTGATGTGCGTAAACTTGAGCCGGCCCTCTGGCAGGTGGAGTCCATGGACGCGAAGGCCGTGGTCGACAACGTTCGGTTGAAGGCAGACGAGTACTTGGCGGATTCGGAGGCCACTGTGCTTTTGCATGGGGCCGCCTGGCTTCGCTGCGCCCTGGCCGGTGATGGTCGCCTGGTGCGAGCTGGGTTGCCCACCTTCTTCGTGTGTCCACCCAAACTTCGTGATCGACACCATGCGTTGTGGCTGCGGCTGCGAGCATGCTGCCCGATCCGAGGCTGCGGATGATGCAAGAGCCACCTTCGGAACATCGGCAGCTATACACTGCCAGTCCTGGCGGGCGGGGTCGGTTCTGGTCCAGGACTGGTGCGTAGACCGTCCTGGCCTGGGCCAGGAGGGCCTGTGCACCAGTCAGGGCCCCAAGATGGGCCGACATGACGTGCCGTTGTGGTCTCCAGGGCCTTCAGCTGTCCCCGCGCATTGCATCTGGGGCCTCCCTGGCCCACGCGCAGCCTTTTGGGCCGACTCGGCGCGGACACCGCGGGGTCCCCTGCGGTATCCCCGGGCGGCGTGAGGCCGTCTCCCTGGAGGCACCTCCTGTCGACTTCGTTCTGGGGCGCGACGGGCATGTACAGTCGGGGCCCTGAAGAAGGAACCCTTTTCGCGGCCCAGGGGCTCCCTGTTCCTTGATTGCTTCGCAGTTTGCCTTTGGTTTTTCTTTGGTTTTCGATGGGAAATCGAAGTTCAACTTGTGGATAGAAGGGGCCTCGTTCTCTATTTTAGGGTTCCTTGGGTCAACGCCCCGACTGTAATTCCTCCTCGCGCTCTCGGGGCGCAAGTCGCAGGGCTGTGGCGCCTTGCTTTTCCAGTACGCGGGCCCTGGAGCTCTCGACCCCTGCCCAAAGGCTGTGGTGGCCCTTGGGCACGACGACGGCCCGCGGGCGTCGAACACCGCGAACGAGATTCGTCTCGATCCTTTCAGTGCGTCGGAGGTCTGGGGTTGCATTGGTCGTCAAGAGTCCCTTCCCCCTTCCCTTCCGAGACCTTCCGACGACGCACTTTTTTTTGGGTCAGCGGCGCGGGCCCCAGCCTCGACCGCTTCTGGGGGACCCGCTCCTCATCCCGAGCCGCCCTCTGGCGCTCCCGGGGAGGGCCTGGTGAGGGGGAGGAGAAGGAGGAGGTCATCGAGGAGGAGGAGGAGGAGGAGGAGGAGGAGGAGGAGGAGGCGGAGGAGGAGGAGGAGGAGGAGGAGGAGGAGGGAGGAGGAGGAGGAGGAGGTCATCAAGAGGGAGGAGGAGGAGGAGGAGGAGGAGGAGGAGGAGGAGGAGACGGAGGTGGTCATCGAGAGGAGGAGGAGGTAGGAGGAGGAGGAGGAGGAGGAGGAGGAGGAGAGGAGGAGGAGGGAGGAGGAGGAGGTCATCGAGGAGGAGGAGGAGGAGGAGGGAGGAGGGGAGGAGGAGGAGGAGGAGGAGGAGGGCCCCCGGGGTCCGAGAGCGGCCCCCGAAGCGGCCCCCGACATCCCCGATCTCCTCCGTGCGGGGCCCCGCGGGCGTCCCGCCCCTTTGCCCCCTCCAGGCGATCGCAAACATGGGAAATCGCGGATTCCGCCGCCGAGCGAGGCGGCACGGGCCGCATTTTGGGGAGGGCCCCCCCCCCGATCCACGGATTTGGCAACCGCGCGCCAGATCCACGGATCGCTATAATCCATGTTTGCGCGCCCCCGAGTGAGGTCACCCCGGGGTCTGAGAGCGGAGGTCATCGGGGAGGAGGCGGAGGAGGAGGAGGAGGAGGAGGAGGAGGAGGA